TGGTTTTGTTTTACAAAAAGTACAGGCAAGAAATATAATTTGTAATATAAGAAAACACAATCCTCTACTGGCGAGATATACACGTATGATTTGACTGTCAGCTCTTACAAGAAAGGGCAAATTGTGTTATGACAGTATTGGGGGTGAAAAAACATGAATGAATTTGCCAAGAGCCCTTCACTACTGTTGTGGGAAGCTGAAGACACCTCGAAAGAAGAACTTCCAGGAGTAAGGAACTTAGTAAGGCTTTGCTAAATAACCCAGGGAAAAATATAGTCTTAAACCCATTCTGTTGGGAAGGTGTGTGCATCCTGGAAAGGACAAGCAAAATGTGACAGTAGAGCTGTCAGCAGAGCTGACAATGGTGCAGTGACAAAAACTTCTCAGAAGGACCCAGATATCCTTGACAGTTCCTTTGAAGTCCCTTTGCACAGCTGCTGACAAAGGTCTGAGAATGTCTGGTGCCAAGCACATACATCTATCATGCAGGGTAATGTTGCATCATCATTTCTTGGTGATCATGTTTTCCTGTCCTTGTCCCTCTGTTGTCCTTTGTGGAGGTAAGAGCAGAAGCACTTGGGGACCAGGAGCATTGGGCATTGCCTGTGCAGAACAAATTGTTCTTGATCCTTGCAGGCATCTTCTAGGCACTGCTATTGTAAAGAAAACTTCAAAGATTTCACGTAGTAGAATGACAGCTTTAATCCAAGCTGTACCGATGTATGAAAATTAAAGGGCAGAGTGTGTTTGCCAGTTGTGAATGGGCAAGGAAGGAATTGCAAAACCAGTCCTTTGCAGTTTGGGTTTGCAGAGGCAAGTGCAAGGCGCACAAAAGGGGAAGCAGGGTGTGCAGCTAGCAAGTGTACATGTCTGCAGAGATGCCCCAACTGCAATGCCAAGAAAATCAGACCAGCAGCCAAGGAAAACACAATTAAAATGATGCAATGACATAAGCTAAATGCTGGTGGTGGAATCTAAATTACACGCAGAACAATCAAGAAGGAAAACACCGACGACATTCGCTTGTGTAACAGGGGTGTTGACCTCACAGCTGGCAGGCAAGGAAGGGCACAAGTGCAGACACAAGTAAAACCAGTGATAGGAGGAGGGATTTGACCTTCCTGAAAGCATCAACCAGGCCTGTCCCTTAGGGGTTATACTGAAGTGACCACAGGACTGCTTGGGTTTGTACATTTTACGCTAGTCCATTTAAAATCTGCCACACTTAAAATCCTCACTAGGACAGACTCACCTGATGAGCAGAGCGAGGCAAGAAGGCTGCAGCTCAGCACCAGGACTCTGCCTCTTGCTCAAACAAAAAGCTGGATAAGGACATGCTTAGCTTTTTTTTAACAAAAGAAGGAATACACTTTGCCAAGGGCTTTGAGGTCTGTGATCAGGAGAGGTCCTACCTGTAAAATAAGTACTGAGTTGTTGCACTGCAGGTAGGAGACAGATGTGGGTTATGTTCTACAGGTTTCTGCTCCATGTCTTGTACAGGCTATGAAACTTTTGTGATGCCAGCACCACATATACTAGTGATGCAGTCAGGTTATTGAACTAGACATGAGAAAATGTAAGGTCCAAACCAAAATAAAAAACATCGTAACTCAGATCCAACACTATGTTGTGCTAAAAAGCAGTGAATAAAAATGTCTCATTTGGGGTGTAGAAGGCATTTTATTTACCCAACACCCTTTATTAATGGGATGTGTTTCTAGAGTATCTACTGATGAGTAGCATTTATTATTCATGCTTCACAGCTTCATCTGTATTTTAGACTATAATATAAGCACCACGAGACAGCCCCTGATAAGTGGGAGAGAGGAAATGCATGCACAATACAAGATGTTCCCATCAAAAACTCATCTCCTCCTAATGCACAGAGGACCTACAGGACACGGTCAGTGTCGCTCAAATACAAACACACTATATTCAACAAGCATCCCCTCAAATTGCGAAGGAGAGATCATTTGGTGCCTTTAAACACAACCTTCAGTTACCATGTCCTCAGAAACACCAGGATGATCCCAGCTTTGCCTTCAGCCTGGGGCGGTGGGATGAGCTGCAGGCTCATTTCAGGCCATTTGTGGTAAACCCAGGCAGCAACTCAGGAGGTTGGCTCTTGCAAAGAGCTTTCAGTGGGAGCCTCCCAGCAGGCTCAGACCCACAGACAAATCACTTCACACCCTGCCCTCCCCTCCTCTTCCCCCTAAAATGCCTCTTTGCCAGCAGCTTTGGGACCTACGGGTCTGCAGGCGAGAAAGGAGAAGCAGCACCCAGAGTCATCAGGCTACAGAAAGTACCCAAGAACAAAAGATTAATTTTAATGTCCTGGCTTCAAGCAACCTTGGCCAATAGCTGCAGGAAGTCTTCATCATTTATGCGGGGGAGGAAGCACCTGGAAATCACAGAATTAATTTGATCTGAAGAGACTGTGCTCTGGAAAAACACATGTGTCAGGCCCCATTACCCAGGATTGCAGGGGCAGGGACAGGACAAGCATGAGCAGGGAGCAAGTGTGAGTGTGCTGGATGCCAGTCAGGGGCATTGGCTCAGCCACGTGTTTTCTCAAGCCAGAGTCCCAGCTCAGCTTGTCACCAGGCTGTGCGTGCCATGGCTGGCCGGGCTGGTGTTGAGCAGGGAGCTGTCCCCTCCCCACAGCCTTGCCCTGAGGGGAGGGGTGATATCAGAAATAACCAGGGGAAAAGGGAGAAGAGGAGGGTCTGGAAGGGCAGTTCTAGGCCTCTCCAGGGATCGACATCCCACATGGGAGCCAAGTCCCGTAGGAGATGCAAGTCTCCTCTTCCAAGGCCTAACAGTCCCCATGTGTGAGCTCGGCACTTGCACTGCATTTAACATAACAGGTAGTGATGAAAGCCTTGCTGCTTCTCATTGCACAGTAAGAAGAAAACCACAAGGTGACAGCTTTGGGGACAGCTGTAACTGGCCAGTGTGGGGCCAGGGCTGTGCAGTGCTCTGGGTGTTGGGCAGAGATGGCAGCAGACCTTGTTGTGTCCCTCTCACTTTGCAATTCCTCTTAAAAACATTGAGTTTCTGGATTGTTTATCCTGAACTCCACTCCCCATGCTGCAGTCACTGACCCTGATGGCTTTTTAAAGGGATATATCCATTCCCTTTGGCTAAATTTGCTTGTGAGTCCTTGCAGCCCCACCTGGTCTCACAGCCCACATTTAGGATGTTTGCAGAGACACTGTAGAGAGCTGCAGTGGCCAAGAGGCTCCTTACTGGAGCTGTGACCAAGTTGGGAGCTTAAACTACTCTTAATATGCATCATTCCTTCTAAAGATGATATTGATGGCTTGGGAGAGAAAGTTCATTTGAACTTTTCCATGCCAAAAATAAGACATTATGTTTTGTTGTGTGACGAGCAGACACAGGACTTCATGATGCCATCGTGTCATCTGTACACACTCTGCCCTGGCCACACTGTAGTGCAAACCTGCAACAGGTTTTGTCCTCAATGCAGAGGATCCCAGGAGCAGCAGCTCTTGGGAAAACAGAGCCAAGAGACTGGTCTAGAAGGGGCTAAGGACATGTGCCCCACCCACGATTTCAATGATAATGATAATGAAAGACAGCCTAGTGACCAAGTACCAAACTAGGTCAGGGAAGGAGGTTTGATTTCCCTTTGCAAACTGGGAGAACATTGCAGGCCACACAGCCTTGCTTTCAGCAGGGTCAAATGCATTCCCCCCAGCCCTTTTTTTGGCACCACGGTGATCCCGAGCAGTGCCACATTCCTTCATGGCCTCAGCTCAGCTCTGTGGCCAAATGCTGCACATGCAATAGAGTTAAACTTCAACACAAAGCTGAAACGTCGTGTGTGTGTTTGTCACTCTTGTGCTCTGAGTGAGTACAAATAGGCTGTGCATTATTCACACAAACAGGCTGAGAGGCTTCTAATGCTGTTTGGGTCATGGCCTGTCAGGCAGCTGTAACTCAGTTGTACTTCCTAGCTCTCCCTTTCCTTGTGTGGGAGGCTGCCTTAGTCCATAGCTGCCAGGGAGAAGTGGTGGTGTTGCAAGGTTGAGATGCATCAGATAAAGGAAATGTGACAAAAATTCCTCAGTTTACCCATTAGGCCCATTTCACCTGGCAAACTCACATTATTTGAAGTGCCACCTCTGCACTGCTGTGGGCAGGGGAGGAAGAACCAGGGCTTCTTGCTGTCAGGTGGAAGGATATCCAGAGCAGGGCTGAGGCCACCCTTTCTCCCCTCACCCCAAGTTGTGGTCCCACAAGCATTCAGCATATTGCACCTCAGATGATATGTGGTGATGGGGGCTCAGAGAAGGGTCAGTGCTCAAGATGCTCAAGTGTCTTCTCCCATTTGGCACACTTCAGAGCATGCTGCAGGGTCAGCAAAGGGGGTCAGCGAGCACAGGGAGCCTCTCAAGCTTCTCTAAACTGAGGAACTGCTTTTCTCTCAAAGCAGAAGCATTTTGTAAAATGCAACCACTACTTGAAGTGACCTCACAGGCATTTTCAGTAAGTGGTCATCATAACTCCTGAAGTAGTTGGACAGTTATTGAAACAAGTGTATCATAAAAGCCTTTCCACCCCCATCCCTCCCACCCCTACTTTATATCCCATGATTTCTTCCTTGTTTGAAATGATTCAGCAGTAGACTCTGATAGTCTCCATCCGGTTAAAAATAGTTACTTGCCTCATATGGCTTTAGCATGGTACTGTCAACTGTAAAATGTTCCACCTTCCAAAAAAGTAGAGTGAAAAATGAAAGTGAGCTTTCACACATCATTACTCTCTGCAGTTAGACCTCCAGAGCTCATTCCAAACCCATCAAAGGAGGGGAGGCGGGCTGGGAGGGCAGGCAAGCAAGATGCTCGTGTTACTGCCCGGTGCCCTGCGGGTCCTTGTGAAGCTTTGCCCCCGACTCAAAAGTGACCAGGTGGATGGTTTGCTCATTTCCCAAAACAAAACACTAGATTATTTGCAAGAGACATTTATTTGTTGGATTTCTGGAATGTTAGAACAGATTAGTCATGGAAGCTGGATGTCTCCTGATGTCAGAATACGCTCCAGCAGAGAACCAGTATAGCCCAGTCAGCTGAGTTACATTCCAGTCACCCCACAACGCTGGGGCAGGAGGGCATGAGAGCCCAAAAATGAGAAGGCATGAGAACCCAAAATGCTGTTAGCCATCTCACAGCTCTTGTCCTCTGTAGGCATGGGGGTCAGTGATGGGCTTGCACACTGTGACTGGCTGTCCTGAACTTTGGGGGGGGGGGAAATGGGTAATCTGATGGTAATAGTGGACAAATGGTGCAGCTGGGTTATTTCACTTGACTCTCTGCATCACTTGAATCTTGAACGTGTTTGCATTCAGAGCCAGCTGCCGGAGGGTGTGTGGTGGGACCCCCCTGCCACAGAGGTGGCACAGGGAGGTGGCACTGAGGCACTGCAGGGTGATAAATGGAAAGTGCATCAGGTCCAGCCTAGGAGGGGATAGATGGCACAGTGCCCACAGCCAGCTTCTGATATGCCCACCTGGGGAGGGAAGCATGGCACAGAGGGAAAGGCTGAGCTGCAGCCTGCCCCAGGGCCCCAGGTCAGAGGGAAAGGCTTGCAGCCAGCAGCTGGAGTGTTCTTCAGGGCTTCTCCTGTTGCTGACCATCAAACAGTGTTGGTGATATCCACCTGCTCCCAGTGCTGAAGAACTTCAGAAAAACCAGGGGAGATGCAGAAGTATCCATTGGTTTTCACTGCACACCTCACAGCATCAGTAGCTGACTCTAGAGGCTGTATGACAAATTGCTGGTTAATACCCACATTAATTCATTTTTTTCCCTCAGAGTTGCATTTGCTGTGCATGCTGAGCCATCCTCTGCTCATTTCCTCAAGGTGATATGCTAAATCCTGCTCCCTGGACCATGGCAATCAGCTATTGCTGGAATACAATCAAGCTGCAGATGGCAGCTGAGGAAATCACAGGGACTCTGCATTGCTGAGCACCATGGTCAAATCCTGGCCACCATCACTGGGGCAGGATTTGACCACAGAGCCAGAGCTGAGCAAGCCAAGTGCTGCCGCCTGCCCGTGGGGTGCTCTCAGCGCCCGCCTCTGTCCTGGGCAGCACTCTTAGGTCCTGCTGCTGTATTTGTGAGGTCCTGAAACACTTGTCACACTGCCACATCACCTCATACTGACCACACCGCAGTAAACATTTGCTCTGGGTCCCTCCTGACAAGACAAGGGATGAGTCTAGAAATTACTTCGAGAGAAAATGAGTGTTTTGAAGAACTGCAGGGAGGGATTGAGCTTCCCAGTTTTGAATGCCTACTTGTGTACCAGACCCCAGCTGTGTTTATGGGAAGGGACATTTTCACATTCCAACAATTTTAATGCACCCCAGGCCTTATGCAATTTTTCTTTCCATTTACAATATTAGGCATCTTGTATGATAAATCTGAAGTGCGGCTTTTGTGCATGAATGATACGGTTTCCATAATATTTTTTCATATGCAGAGACATTTTGTTTTGATCTCATGGGGCATGAGTCAACTCCTATTTGAAGCCACTGGAGTCCTTCCAGTGACCTTCCCAGAGCCTGGCTAGCCGGGCAGATGAAGTCTGATGTGCTGTAGGTGCAAGCTAGCATGGCCTGCCGAGGCTTAGGGCAGCTCAGTAGAGCAGCTCAACCCTAAAAGGACAACATCAGGAAACTGGTTGAGTGCATCCAGCATGCTTGGTGCAAAACCAGTGTCTGCCCCAGAAGTGCACGTGCTGTAGCACCATGACAGTCCCAGACTGGTTGGCAGCAGTGGGTGTTCAGCCCTGCAAGATCCACAGAGTCTAAGCCCATCCAACACACGTGCCATGTCCCTTAATCTCAAGGCTGCAAGAGTCAGGGTGAGTTATAAAACTTATTTGGTCAATCTCCTTGAGTGGGACAAGCAGAACCCTGGGTTTCCTGGATTACCCAGGCCAGGTCTTCCACTCTCACAAAAGCAGCAGCCCTGTGGACCCAAACACCCCTAAGCATGCAAGGGTGTTTCCCATGAAGACCTTCAAGACTCTCCATGTGAGTGTGGGATCCCACATGTGCCCTCCCAATATGCATGAATTTTATCCCCCCTTCTTAAGGACTGTTGGAAGAGCTGTTTCTTTTTTTAGTGGGAGCAAGTTTTGATGGGGAAATATCAGTTTCCCCACTTCAGCAAAATTCTGGCAATTTGCCTCAGCTCAGAAAGGTGCCCCTGTTCTGTGAGGCCAGTAAGGAAGAGAAACACACCCTGCAAGAGTCAAAATGGGCAAGAAACAGCAAGTGCCCAAAGCTACTGACTGAGCATCCTCCCTGTTTACACGGCTTACGTGTCAAGAGCTCTGTCAGTGACAAAGGGCTGGCCAGAGGTGTCTGTGCATCCATCAGCACACAGCGTTCCTGCCATCATTAAATGGCACTGTGGAGAGGTTCAGAGCAGGAGTCACTGAGGAGGGCCCAGCAGGTGGTAGCCTCTGCCTGCCTCTCCTGCCAGCTCTGGCAGTGACCTGGGGCTGCTCCACAGGACTGGTGCTGCTCTGCAGTGTCCTCCACCACTGGTCCTGCTGAGGAAACCTCATGTGACTTGGAAATTAAGCTAGAGTATTTTGTGTTTATGAAACAGCTCCTAAGAGTTTGAAAAAGGGACTAGTGGTGTTTACACACAAGCTGGATGGACTCTAACATGGTGCATGCTCTGTTGTGTCAACTCCTGCACCTGCATAAGATATTCTACAAAATCCCCGTGAAATGAAGGAGCCAAACAACTGGGTCTAATCAGCCCTGCCTGTGCTCTCACTGCAGCCACACAACATTTTTGCTAACAGAGCTGCGGGATGTTATGGAAAATCTGCTCTCCAAAGAGCCTTTGTTCATGTCTGAAGTTAAGGCTGGTCAAAAGCAGGGAGTGGAGCTGAGGGGGAGCTGGTGCTGGAGCAGCCTGGGTGCAGAGCCCTGCTCCTGGGGCTTATGGAGTGCTCCCTAGGAATAGGGGAGACTTTGGAGGGACCCCAAACAGCAGCAGCTCAGCTAACACCACCTTTATCCCCCCTCAGGCAAGGAGGAGACTTGTCCAAAGAAGCATGAAGTTGAAGCACATTTTCCTGAGCTTTCCCAAACTACCAGAATTACCAAATGTGCTTTCAATTGCGGTTTTTTTTGGTTACCTATGCCAGAAAGTTTTTAGACCCCTTCTTAGCAACACAGATTCTCCTCTTTTTTTTGTACCATTTGCAGAATGGTCCTGTCTGGCCCTTGTTTGCTCATAGAGTGACACCAGGACTCAGTCCATAAAAGGTTGTTGACCTGGGAAGAGAGCTTCTAGAATTGAAGGGCTGGGCGTTTTCTTGGAAATTGCCTTATCAGCACAGCTACAAGCTGGAGCTTCAACAACCCTTCCCGAGCTGCACGTCCCTATTCCTGTTCCTGCAGTTTGGTATATATGCTGTACACATATGTTTGTTTTGTAGTTTGTTATTTTGGGCCGAGATTGCCACAAACCCACGAAGCCGAGATAATTGCTTTACTGTTACTGAAATTAGGTATCAGGGAAGGCCCAAAGCCAGGCAGTAACGGGGAGCAGGCGCCTGTGCACAAGGCTGTGTAAAGGCTGATGCCAAGAACCTCACATGCCCTCCTTTGCTGGTGGAGAAGGGAATCAGCAGGGGGGGGGGGGTCAGGGGTTGTTATCAGCAAAGCAAAAGGCAGTAAAACAGGAACAGAGAGGCATTGGGTTGGCACAGCAAGCAGAGTCACCAGGGTGCAGGCTGGGCTCTGAGAGCAGGGTGGAAGTGGGCTCTGAGAGCTGAGTGGGAATGGATGCAGTGCAGCACTTCAGGGATTTAAACCAAAACCTGACAGTGCACTAAGGTCTCCTGGAGGCACGAGCCTGTGCTTACACAGGGACTTGCTCTGAAATTTCACAGCGGCAGGGCGGGCTGGTTCACTGTGAATCCCAAGGGTGTTTGCAGTGCCTCGGACCTTCCCAGCCAGAGAAGGTCTGGCAGCCCAGCCAGAGCTGCCACCTCTTCTCATCCCCCAGCAACTCTGACTTTGCATCTGGGATTCAGCCCTCATCCCCACGGGGCATGATGCAGATCTGCAGATCTGGGGCAAGGACCTCAGGAGTGGCCAGCAAAGCCCCTTGGCTCACCTGCTCACCCACTGCCCTCACCAGGACAGGCTGCTCAGCGAAGCCAGTGCCTGCCTTGGAAACAAATGTCCCCAGAGCCACGGGCACACAGCACCAGCAACTTCACATCCTGAAGCACTGCTGGGATAATCCTGTTTGCTCAGTCTTAGTGACTGAAGAGAACCATAACCAAGGAAAACAGCAGGATTATCCTCCAGCACCTGTTCCCACTGAAAGGATTATCATAGTTGGCCACATCAATGATGTCCTCTAGGTATCACCATGAAAGCAGCCTGAGGGACATGGCAGCCCACCAGAAGACCTCTCTCCCCTTCTGCATACCCCTTTCCAGAAAATATCTGGAAGCTCCTGGCAGACGAAGGCCAGTCCATGTGGATACAAGTATCAGTGCTTGCATGCCTGCAGCATACGGGCTTGCTCTCCAAATAGCATCATCTCTTGTTTGACTGTCTAACGGGGAGGCGGCGTGAGAAGCATGGGCTGTAAACTGCAGGGCTCAGAAGGCAGACAGCAGCTTTAAAGCACTTTAAAACAAGCTGGTTTTCCTGCTCAACATTCCCTGTGCTTTTGTTGGTCAAGAGCAGGATCTGACCCATTCACCTCACAACATGGGAGGGCTCTGTTGGGCTGCCTTTACATCTACAGTACAATAGTAACTGATGTAAGAGCTGTTTTACTGAAGAATGAAAATGCTTGATTGCAGAAAAATTTTGGAGTGTCCCTTAATGGTCCAGAGAGATGCTGCAACTGCCCCAAGGCCTCTGTGACTTGAGCTGATGCCTCTCTCCATCAGTCTTCTCAGGAACATCCTTCCATCCCTCAAGTAGAGGCCTTGGAAAACAAATTACTGCAAACAGATTTTTTTCCATAATGGAATGTAACATTAAAGTAAACACTGAAACATGGAGACAAATAAAGCAAAAAAATCAGGGAAATAATCCTTAGCTTCTAATGATTTTTGCAAAACATTGTTGAAATTAGGTTTTATTGGAATGAAAATGTATTTATCATATCTGTCAACACTGGAAAATTATGGTTAAATTAAAAGTTTATTTTAAACTCTGACGATGATCCAGAAGTGATATGCTATTTATAAATAGCTTATCATACACCACAGTATAAAAAGTACATTGATCTTCTTGTTATTGAGTCAAATTCATTGTTACATATGAGATGGGAATTAGCTTTACCCCTGTGACTATAAAACAGAGAAAAAAATTAAAACCACAGGGAGGAGAGCAGTAACAGCCCACTCACCAGAGTCTCCTGTGGAAAGGACCATAGGAAAATGGGCCCATTGGAAAAAGCCACCCCACTTCTGAAGCTTGTCTAGATCTGGGCTGAGACCAGGCGGTACCAAACAGCTGAGATCTCTCCGTGTGCTTGCCATGCTCCTGGTGCTTCCCAGCAGCTCAGGGACCATGCTCATTTACCAGGGGTAGAGCCTACCTGGGTTTTTAGGGGTGCTAACTGAGATCTCTGGCAGCCTGACAGCAGCAGTGAGAATGTCCCTGCCAGAGGGGACCAGTGGCTGCCAGGTGGGAGGGGATCAGAAATATTCTCCTTGGATATTTCCGTCTTTGAACCTCAGACAGAGGACTTCATCCAAGCTTCATTAATATCCCATTAAAAAAGACAAACATTCTCCGTTGTTAGGGCCAAGCAGAGTCAGTGTGCTCTGCTCTGGCTATGGCTGTGGCCACAGCCCAGACTGTGCATGTGTGTGGGGGATGGAGACGACGGGCTGTGATACAGCAGCACAAACGCAGCCCATCACGGAGCTGGCTGGCTGTGGAGCATGCAGCAACCCCGGCCTGCAGGCAATGCAGAGGTCATCACTGAGGTGACAGGGAGCCAAGGAGGTGACTGTGGATAATGCTGCAGAGCTGCCTGGAGAGGGGAGGTGAGTGGGAAGCTGGTGGTCAGAGCTGAGCTTGCGGGAGGCTCCAAGCGGCAGCAGCCAGGAGCTGAACGGTGACATGGGGAGATAAGGCTCTTGATGGATAGACCTCAGAAGGTTTGAAGGTTTTTGTTCTGCTTGGATAAGCAGTCAAATATTCACATAGATAAGTTTCAGAAATGCATCTGATCTGAAGCCCTTTTTGTGTAGGTCTGGAAACAGAACAAGAGAATTCCTCTGTAGCTTTCCTGCGTCCTGGCTTTTCCTTCACCAGCACCAGGCTGGCCAGAATTATCCACACAAGCAAAACAACAGACAGGACAGCTCTAACAGGCAGACCCTTCCTGAACCTCAGGCATTCAGCTGTGCCTAGGTACCAACCTTACTCACAGCCTGGGGTGCAGGGGAGATGATCCTTCACTTGGTTACTCTCTGTTCGTTGTCATCTTGGTCCACAGAGCTGCTATGGGTGGTTTAAGCACTGCGAAGGAAATGCCCTCGCTAACATCTGTGTGTATCTTAACATACCCGTTGGCACAGAGTTTATATAACATCGCCTGGCACCTCTTCACTGGCAGAGTTACACCCACATGGAGCATCTCACTGTGTGCAAAGATCTGCAGTAACCTGCTGATGAATGGCTGCTGGTGGCAAAGCCAGACAGCAGCACCGATTATCTTGGCAGGCTCCTGGCCCTCCTTGTGCACCACTCTTGGACCTGCCTGAGGGCTGCAGGCAGCACCCAGGATGGCCAGTAATTATGTTCCAGCTTTAAACTGCAGTGCTTGAGTGGAGTGCTTTTGGAGGGTGGATAATTTCCTTGGAAATAAATTAGAGTGCTGTACTGTACTCCAGCAAGTTTCCTTGTACCATAAGTTGTTTAAACAGTTTCTCGTTATGCATTTCCCATTCAGACAAAAAACAGACCAGAAAGCCTGAGGCACCAAGGCTGGTAGGAAAACGGAAATCCTGCTCCAAGTAGGCAGAGAGCAGCTCCCTGGCTCTGGGCAGGCGCTGGCAGGCCCAGCAAAGATTTGGGGCGGGAAGGAGCAGTAGCAATTTCTGGCTCTGTAGAGACCTTTCGGGTTCACCTTTGAACAAACGTGGCTCCCAATCAGTTATGCAGGATTTCTGTCTGAGCAATCCCCCAGCTTTGACATGCCTTAGGGAGGACCCAGATCCAAACCCTGAGGGCAGAGCAGCAGAGGGCTTCCAGCAAGCCGGAGAGTCCACCCCATTTGGGGTCAGCTCCTCTTCAATTTCCCCATGTCTCTCCCTGAGCTTCCCAATCTACTATTTATAGCTTTGCCTTAATGATTCCCCCCCTTCATCCACCCCCTAACTTTAACCTCTTCCTTTCCAAGCGGTGTTTGGAGTTTACAGGAGAAAGTTGTTTATGTTAAATAGCTTTGTAATAATTTCCTCCTCTGCCGCCTCCCTTCCTTCCCCAATAAAAGCCCCATGGAGTGCTTGGCAAAGCCTGTAAACAAAGGAGGGGTTTGGAGACCCAACCAGTTTTTGGTGAACCCAGTGGGGAAATAATGTCTCTTTTGAAGAATGTTAAAGCCTGAACTCATAATAGTAGGAAACTAGTATCCACCCTAGGTAAGGAATTGCCTACTTGCAGCTACAGGGCATAAAATACAGATGTCCACGTAGTCACTGTTGGGTGCAAGGGGTTAACCCTGTGTGCTTTCCTCACTGGTCAAGATGGTGTTGATGGCAGCAAACCAAAATGTGTTTGTTAAGCTCCAAATACTTGAAGTTGTGACAAGTGAGCAGGGAAAGGAGAAGACAAAAAGGCAGCAGTGTTTTGAACTCACCTAGATTGATGAACAGAAGCACAAGGCAATGAAAATCCATTAGCCTGACTGTTCCCTGCAGAGGAAAAACAGGCACACAAAATCCAATTCATTATTCTCTTTCTTATTTAATGCTAAGTAAGTCATTGAACTTTACTACTTGATCTATCCATTTTCTTTAGTAGAAGGGCTGCAGGAAATCTTTCTCTTCTCAAAGGGGGTTTCAAGTTTCTCACCGATATCATGTAAAAAATACTTGGAGTGTATGAGTAAAAAATAACTGCATTTCAAAGGGAGCTTGAGCCATGAAGATAATGATAATTTTTCTCTTCTGAAGGGCAGAACCGAAGAGTGGAGGCCCCTGGGAGCTGGGAGCACCATTGTTCTTCTTCCAGGCCGTTATCTGGAGACAGGCCCTGTGATAGACTCTGATGAGGCCACGGGAAGGATTATCTGCTGGGAGTGCTAATGGCATGCATTTGACAACATCAACTGTTTAATTTATGAGGTGACTTGTAACGTAAAGGCAAAGAAATTCATACCATGCAACAGTCCAAACAATTAAAAAGTATCCCAAAAACCCAGCCTGCTCTACAACCCCACTTACTTAGTTAAGGCTACGTAGAAATGTTCCACCTTCCTAAAAGGCATCTTACTGAATTTTGTGCTGTGATGGCAGTGTTATATAATGAGAAATATATTAATGGAAACTATCCAGCACTGAAATCCTTCCAGCCTTTTTATCACCACATTCCTTGCTCCCACATAAGTGAAGTGTGCAGGAATAAAAGCAGTTAAACATCATCCACCAGAAGACACCCATGATGAGGATTGCTCACAAGCCCTTAACAGCTCAGTGGTGCCCATCAGTGTTGGGATCCATATATACAATCTGGGTCCTGGGGAGTTATTTTTCCACTGCTCATGGCTTGGGGCTGTATCACCCTCTTGCAGCTGGGGACAGTTTAGTGTTGTCACCTGGTACCTGAGTTGCTCATTCAGCTCTCCTGGTCCTGATCTCTGCCAAGAGTTGAGGAGTTTCTCCCATGCTCTTCACCATGGTCTCACAGATAACCAGACTTAATTCATGTTTTTCTTCTATCGCAGGAATATTTGTACAAAACTAAATTTATTTTCATTTTTCACATGCAGTGAGAAGCTTAATGGCTTAGTCATTAAGCTTCTAAATAGAATATTCAGATCAGCCTCTGAAGGGAGGGAAGGTGTGGGTGGCAAGTCCTCCTTTTCCAGCATAGGTCAGGCAAAATGACGGGCCGGAGGGTGCTGGTCTGAGTCTCAGCTTCTGCAGCGTCACCACTGGACACGAGATTTGTGATCACAGTGATGGATTCAAATCAGGGCTGCTACCAAAACAGATGATCCCTGCCCCATCACTCAGCATGTTTCCTATGCCCCTCATGAATTTGTTACCCACGTTTGTGCAACCTGTGTGGGTCAGATGAAACAAACCTTGTCTGAAAAGGGTTGGTTTTCAGCCAGAGGAGCCCATTGCCCACATGGTTGCAGGAGCAGTAGAGACAGGGTGGGCAGCAGGACATGCAATGGGAGTTGAGGGCTGGGAAGGAGGGTGCAAGCACTAGCCCTGGCTTGGATGGGCTGATGCTGAAAACCACAGACATGCACCTACCCTGCTGACAGATGTAACCACCTGGGAGTGAAATAGGAACAAAATCTCTCCTGTGACTGCTCTCAAGGTGGTTTAGAGTAGTGCTGCAACACCTGTTGTTACTGGCAATTACTGCAAGAGCAGCTGCCTTGTGCTCCGTATTAGACAAAAACTCCAAAAAGCCCGAGTATTTTGACACAAGCTGTTTATGCTCCTGTGTCAGATCCAGTCTGGATGCACTGGTAGTGTGGTTGCCGAAGTCTGGTGATGGGAACCTGCCGGGGTACCAGCAGTGCTTAAGTCGGGGGGTGTGTGTCAGCAACAGGTCCCATCAACCCCCCCGCCTTCCCCTTTTCTCCGCCTCCGCAGCAGAGAGAGGACAGCTCCTGCCAGGAGAGCATCCCACACTGCCCTGGTGTCCTAAGTGAGCTAATTGAGATTTTATTTGACGGCTCCCAAGTGAGTATTTAAGGGAAGAACAGACAAACAAAACACTTCTTGCTGAAGTCCGCGAGCCGGGCGAGCTGTGAAACAATGGGAGCTTTGCGGGACGTCTCCCAGTTTACCTGCTCCAGTCCAAGAGGAAGCGCTCCTCCCTCCACAGCACAATGGTGGGGGGGCACTCACCTTTGTGCCTCAGGGCACCTCTGGATCCCCTCTGACGCTTGGGCGGGTGAGAGGGGCACACATTACACACCCGAATGGGAGCAGAGGGAGCGGACTGGGGGCACCGTGAGCTGTCCCTGGAGGGGCACTTGTCCATCAGCACGGCTTGCACAGGGCGTGCAGCGGCGTCTGGACCAGTCAGCGCAGGGTTCTTCATCTGCACACGGAAACTTTTAACTCTGAACACAGTTCTCCCTCCCCCACTAGGAAATCCTGCCAGGGGCTTGTCTCAGCTACTTCTTCTTGACAAGAGATCTTTAAATTTTGGACACAAGGCATTGTTTAAATTTTACCGCCTGGCAAATCTTTTGTCATGAGCTGCTGTGCTGTCCCTGCAATCGTTCTTACAGTGGCAGAGAACTCTGCAGTCCCCCTCCAAGGGAAGGCAGCTGACAGACAGCCTTTGAGGGGGCTGCAGCATTTGCTTGACCCTGCAAAATGACCTGTTGGTAGCTGCAACATTTATGCACCTAGCAGCTTCTGAGATTTTGAGCTCTTTAGTGTCTCTGTTTGCCTCTTTGTTGCATACACTTACATCTGCCTTTCAAAGCATTGTGCCAATGATCTTAAGACCAATTATCAAAATAATTTTGGTAGGAAGAAGCTAAATATCATGGCTTTGAGAGAGACATGGGACCAGGCTTGCAAAGGTACATCACTGCCTAGGGAGGCACAATGGTAGCTAATGGCTAAAGCACTGACCTAGTAGAAAATCCTCATTTAATCTCATTAAGGACAACAGGATTCAGTGCATTACACAAGATTAGAAGGGAAAGGCACACCATTACATCTGAGATGTTGTTAATCATGGCAATGGCAAAAGTCTGGGTAAGCTTCTGTTTTCCCCTTTAGGTTGTGAACCTGGAGGTCAAGACTGATTTTCTATTTGTCTGGGAATTTTGCACTCTGTTGCAACTGGTATTAATAAATTTGAGCATCAAGCCTGAAAGGAATGGGGTATGCCAAAACCCAGACACTGACCAGCATGGTACTATTCATGTCTGGATGCAGACTGCTGCCAGGGCACTACCGAAAACTTGTGCTGTTGGGTGCTAAGGCTGAGCATGCAAACATTGCCATGAAAAAACCTGGAAGCTGAGTGGGGCAGGGAAGGAAAAAACCCACAGTTTGTGAAGCAAATGTGCCTGCCAAGCTGCCAGTTTCGGTGAACCAGGAAGCTCATCACCAGTTCTCATAACAAACCTGAACACTCTTCCATTTTCAGCACGATTCTGTCGCTGGTGTTTGCAGGACGGAGCGATGACTCAGGGCAGTGGCACAGTCAGCAGCAGCTTGCACCAGCATGCCCGGCACAGTGGGCACACCCTGCAGCACCCACACGTCCCCCCGCAGCACTGCCACCCCTGGAGGCCCAGGGGGCACCTCCTGCTTGGCACCACCCGAGAGGATGCTACTGGGAGCGAAGAGGGAGATGCTGAGGGGGTTGTATGTGTCCTGGGAGCCATGGTTGGCCAGGGAGCTGTGTGGCTTTACATGGTTGAGAAGCTGCTCAGGTGTGCTTTAGTCTGCTGCTATTTCCCAAAAAGAGTAGGACAAACTTTTAGGAATGTTTAGGGCATGTTTCAGCTGCCAGTCCCTTGGTGGCATGGTCCTGTATGGAGAGTGCCTTACCTCTCACACTTCTTAACCTGCGTTTCCACAACGCCTCTGCCTGGTGCATCCCCATCCAGTAAAAGGCAACACCTACAGCATGGCTAAAGATGTCCCACTTTTTCTTTTCGCAAGGACAATCCTGGGTTTGCTTACCAGCATCACCTTTTTTATCCTTTTCCCACCTTGGTCAATTTTTTCCGGCAGAGTTTGACAGCCTGAAGTTACTGAATTGCAGGGATAAATCACCTGCTGTTACCATGGGTCTGCTCCTGGTGGATGGTCAGGCACACAAACATCTCAAAGAAAAAGCATATCAATTTCTTCTGCCAGTCAATGATCACAAAATATTGTTGATCTTACATTATACGTGAGTGTTTATATAAAGAGAAAGAATCCTTACTTCCTCCTGGGACGTTTGGGAATTTGGCAGGCTTTGAAAGCGAGTCAGTGGTGCATAGGGTAATGCTCCTTCAGGGGGGAGTGTGCTTAGTGCTATTGCAGGGGATCACGTTAGTGCTTTTGACACGATCAAACAGAAAAGTTCCAGTTGAACAATGAGTTTTTAGGATGAAAAGTGAAACGCTAAGAAGGTGTGTACATCTCCATGAATTCGCTTCATTTCGCTCCTTGATGTGGCGGTAACAGAACTATTTTTAGGTCTAATCCTTCAAACAGAACATGACTTCTCCTTTCTGATTAGTACAAAGCTGGCTGGTAGTCAAAGGATAATTATTTCCCAACACATCACCTAACACACACCAGCAAACAAAACGCTCATTATTTGAGCTATCCAATATTAACTGTTGTTTAGCAGTTAACATTTTCTCAACAGCTTTAAACAGGACTAATTGCTCCAGCTTCATTAGCAGAGGTCATTTACTGTTGGTAACAATACTTTTTTGGCGATAGTCCCTAGGATGAGATTAGATTATCAGGTCAAATTCTGCTCCTGGTGCCAATGATGCCTGACCGCATTTGGCCTCACAAAAGTCTGCTCTTTGAGTTCATAGCTGCCCAATTTCCAGCCCTGCAGCTGATATATTACATAAAGGAAGTAAGTGCACTCCACCAGAAGGGAAATTACAATAAATTAGGAAAGTGTGCAGCACAAGAAAGGTTGGCAAAATAGCCATTTAAAAGTTATTAATAAAACCGCAACCTCAGATAGGGTTTGGAGAAAAAAAAAACCAAACCTGATAAAAAGTTGTCCTTATAGTTGAAAACACATGGTTAGCCAAGGGGGAAAGGAGTGTTTGGAGAAGAACCAGTGTGGGCTGCACCATAAACACCCAGCCAATGCTGTCAAATGCTGTGTCTGCTACAGGCTCAGTTCAGATCATAAGCCACTGTTTTTGCATGGTTTCATGCTGATTGGAGCCACAGCCAGTGGATGCTGAGAGTTGCAGTCTCCAAGTGCAGCAAATTTGCAGGAGGGTTTCTGTGCAGCTTTCACCGGTGGGGAGTCCTTCTGCAGGGCCTTTGATAGCCTGTTGCCCATCTGAAACAGCCTCAACTTCCCTAAGCACACAGAAAACTGAATCCAGACTTTCAATCCAATATATTCCCATTTAAACAGGTGGAGAGAAGCAGCCTCTTTTTCAGAAGTGCTGAGCAAACACTGCTTAGAGTGAAGCCGGCGCCTTTGAGAATCAGTCGTCTTCCATGTGGAAGTCTCAGGCATCCTCGCCAAATAATTTTGGTCCTGGCAGCTGCAGGACATTTTCTCTGAGTGGATTTCTGGTTTACCTGTGTCTCCCTTCCCTGCAGGCCTGTGGCTCTTTGCTGTTACTTTCCTGCCCACGTACGTGTGCGGCCGCATGCCTACCACCTATACTTTCTGACTTGCAGCTCCAACTGCTAATCCATGTCTGGTTTTCGTCAGAAAAAAAAAAATATTCATCGTGAGCGTTTGACTCATTGCTGCCGGAGTATTTCAGCTGCCCCACGACACTTTTCAGAGTATCCTTCTTCTCTGCAGAGAACAGCCTGTTCTGAGCATGATCCACGGCAGACTGCTCGCCAGCAGCCTCCCCTTCCTCGCACACGTGTGTGCCATATGTCCTGCTCTGTCCGCGCCGTTGCTGTGCCACTGTTTGTCTCACGCCCTGCAAGGTGGACTGGCATCCACCATCCCAGGCTGCCAGGTGGATTACCTTAGCTGTCCGTGAAGGGACTCAATGTGTCAGCCTCCAGGCTCTTCCAGCAGGTCCTCAGCTGGCAGAAACTCAACAGCAGACAAATCCTGACCGGCTCTGCTGACACAGCTGGCCCTTCTGCGGCCAGTGGAGTAACATTCATCCTACCTCAGTGCCATTACACTTGTCCAGGGGAAGCATCACCCAGCACAGCTATTCGGCTGGAGAAGCCGAGCAAGTTCTGGCCATAAATTTCTCACCTAAGTCAGACCATTTTGAGGGAAAATTTTAACCACTTTTTAAAGTCTAGGAACATGAGATTTGGGTGGTTAAAATTAAGTATGTGAACTGATTTATGAGATTAAGAGCTGAGTCCATTAGATTGCCCTGCTCCATGCAGTAGGCACTGTGCTTCCCCAGGATGTGGCACCCTGCTGAGGATGAGGGCTTGGCAGTCACTTCAGCTCCCAGCTGGGCACTAGGGCCGGATCCTGTCCTGCTCTACCCACCAGGCAGGGACCTGGTCCTGCCCTGGCTTGCTGCAATCCTCAAGGCACACAGGGAGAGCAGTGCTGCCTCCCCATCCTGTCCCAACCCCAACATGCACAGCCAACATCTCCCTGCAGTCCCCAGCTGTCAGACATCACCATCCGGTGCACCCTTTTGGTCCTGTTGTATTTGCTGTAATCACAGATAAAACCAGATTGTTTTTAAAAAAACCATTTGGTAGCAGAGCCCACTTACTTCCCTTATCTCCTGATCTGATGTCATTCCAGCATTTCAAGAACCTCATTTCGCTACTGACAAGGGAGACACCATTAACTGCAATTCACATCAAACCCCAGTAACATCAATGGAAAAGTATTATTTACTTTCCTGGTCCCTTTATTTTGTCTTTGCATAAAAAGCGTAACTTTTTTCCCCCCCTGGAAATACAACATTAGAAATTGCAAAGGACAAATTCCTCAACTTTGAAAACAAAAAGAATGAACAAATGGTTTCCAAAACAAACCATGAGCCACCACCCTAAAGAACTCCCTTTGGGAAGTGCTCTTCCTGGGAGCTGATTTTTAATTAAACTATACTTCTGAGTTTTATAAAGCTAAAAATGGCTTCACTTTTATTCTGCACTAGCTTTTGTTGCTCTATCTGTCATATATTCATTTCAGTAATGAAAAACTTCATGAAACCACAAGGATACAGCATATTTTCATAAAGCAATAAAGGAAGACACTCTTTTGAACTAGGGGCACAAATCTGCAGCACTTCTGTTCACTGTACCTCCTTACTTGGATCAGTCAAAAATAAAACATTGAGTTATCATGATCTGGCCCCCAAGGAGTATGTGACTGTCGGCAGCACGCTGCACATGACCATTAGCTTATCACCTACAAACCAGGTACTTTTATTTCACCCAGTGACATAGAAGAGGTCTCTTCAGTGTTTAAGTTTGTCCCAGAGCCCAATCCTGCTCCAGTAATGCTTTTTCCATACCCTCAAAGGGTAGCACCTTTTTTACAATGGAAGGAACCAAAGGCTGGACTCCTCTGACTGGCTCCCTGGCTGCCATCTCCCCTTACAGGGCATGAGCCTCCCCTGGTACCCATCGGGCAGGAGTCTCCCCCAGCTTCCACGCTCAGGACCAGGGACCCATCCCATGGGACACACACCACCCACATCACTCGGGCAGGATCAGGCATGAGGTGGATCTGCTCGTGCAGTGGCATGGAATGCATACGGAGATTTCTTTCTACTCAAGGCCATTTCTAGCTTTCAAATTAAATATCCTCTGTAATCTTAAATATTCTGGTGTCCTGACTCCCAGCCACGTACTCCTAACAAAAAAAAAAAAAAAAGAACCCCCACAAAAAAACCAACAAAGAACATATTCTAGAAAGGAATAGTTCGAGAAAATGAGTGTATTCATTATCAGAGTGGAAACACCTTGTCATTTGCCACTAATTTTAAGGGAAGTCACTGGACCTCAGTGCAACAGGAACACAACCTTATGGGTTTCAAACAGGTTTTTTCAACACTGTGTCAGGAAAAGCCATTAGATAGAGTTGTATTGGTAATCTGAGCCATCTTTGGAGAAAAACAAATGCTGTTCTTCCCATTATAAGTAGGTATTGTTTCAAAACCTATAGAGACACGCTTGTGCTGCAATGGTATTTATTGCACATAGACCAGTTACTTACACAGTAGTAAATTGCACCAGAGTATAAATATGATATAAAACACAAACAGAGAGGAAAATGGAAATGACACACACGTGCTAAAACAACAGCAGATTCACGTGGGCATTTGGAAATAAAAATAAAAATAATAAAGTCTCTTAAGATATTTTAATTTATAATATGACATATTTACAGTACCTTCAAAAATAATATTAAAAAGTCACTCTCTCAATAAAACTAAAACAGATCAGACAAAACCAGAAATCAGGTTCAGGGTCAGTGTTACTCAAACCTCCGTTTCCTTTTCAATTTGCGTGTGTGTGTGCAAGTAACATCTTCAAATAACTTTACAACTCTTAACACTGTGCAAGAAACGGCTTTGCCGACATTTTTTAAAAATGTGCAGTAAATTTTTGTTGCCAGGATCCCCCCCCTCCCCCGTTCATCTGTAATTACAATGAACAAGCTGCAGAAGGCTCCTCAACCTCCCCCCCCGCCCCTTTTTTTTCATAAAATCCTATTAGCGGTATGTAAATATGCCGTTTAATATAAACATGGTCCGTTCATTCCCCTGTACAATATGCACAGTTTGAGGTAGAAGTTTCTCAGCCTGACTGCTATAGCCTGGCCGAAGGAGATAAGCACAGTAACTCACTGCTTGCTAATGCAGAGGGAACAAGCACAAGAGTGTGGGTTGGGTTGTTTTACCCCCTTTTAAAACACACCAGTGCTCTTCATTACTCGCTATTTTTCCCTGTCGCTACTCTGCGGAAGGGGAGAGAGCACGGCTACTGTGAGCTTAAAACTCATCCTGGCAGCAGATCTCCGTCTCGCCAGCCGTACTCTGTGCCCGGAGCACCTGCAGCACCGACCCCGCGCCTCCCAAAACCCCGGTGCTCTGGGTCAGGGGACGAACGCCGGGGCGAGGCGGGGGTGGCCGGGACCCCAAATGCAGCCGAACTCAGCCGTCAAAGGCTCGGGTTCAGCCACCAGCACGGTCCTGGGACAGGCACTCGAGTGCAGGCGCTGCTGCCGCAGCCCCCGTCGACAGCGCGTCTCCTAAAGACAGGGTTGCTGTCCCTGGGACAGGCTGTTTATTTCCTTTGTTCTCCGGTCAGTGGGTTTCCTGTTTGCTGTACTTTCGGATGAGGTATGTCGTACACCACTTCACCTGCTTTTATTCCTAAGTAAACACCCGCACTCTCCCTGCGAAGGCAAGGGATCGTTTTGCTTGGCAATAGCATTACCATCAGGCATCTGCCGGGGATTTCTCTGCTCCTGCGTGTCTCCCTGCCTGCCATTCCCCCCCTGTCCCGGGTCTGACGCGGCCCCCCACGGCCCCCCTATACCTTGGACTCCGAATCGGAGGTTTTGCTATGTCTCTCCTCCAGGCTGGACTCGCTGCCGCCCCGTGTGCCCCCGTTGTAGTCGGACCAGGTCCCTGCCAGGCTGCGCTCGGGGGAGCCCACGGTGCTGATGAAGCCCCCGGGCAGCCGGGCCAGCTCCCCGCCGCCGCCGTGCAGCCACCGGTCGGCTTTCCGGCGGCAGCAGAGCAGCCTCTTGAAGGCCTTACGAAAGTCGGGGCTGCGGCAGTAGATGATGGGGTTGAACGCGGAGTTGGCGTAGCCCAGCCAGTTGAAGAAAACGAAGAGCCAGTCCGGCACCAGGTCCCTGTTGAAGACGTTGACGATGTTCACCAGGAAAAACGGGAGCCAGCAGAGGGTGAACACCCCCATGATGATGCCCAAAGTCTTGAGGGCTTTCTGCTCCTTCATGGCCATGATGCGGGAGCTCTTTCGCTTGCTGGCTCGGCCGTTGCCGAGGATGGGCTGGTGGTGAGGGTGAGCGGGCAGGGGCGTCTGCGGCTGCTCCTGGCTGCCGTAGAACCGGCCCTCGCACCTATCGATCTTCCTCATCTGCTCCTTGGCCTCTCTGTACACCCGGAGGTACACAAAGATCATGATGAGAAGGGGGATGTAGAAAGAAATGATGGACGAGGCGATGGCGTAAGCCCTGTTGGTGACGAAGTCGCAGCAGCCCGGGTCCTGGTAGCACTCCAGCGCCTGGGGGTCATCGTCCCGCCACCAATGCATCATGATGGGCAAGAAGGAGACCAGGGCGGAGATGGCCCAGACGGTGCAGATGATGCCCTTGGCCCGACCCTTGGTCATGAGGCTCTGGTAGCGGAAAGGCGAGGTGATGGCCAGGTAGCGGTCGATGGCGATGACGCACAAGGTCTCGATGCTGGCCGTCACACACAGCACGTCCACGGACGTCCAGCACTCGCACAGGAAGGACCCCCAGAGCCAGGTGCCCCGCACCACCAGCGTGGCCCCGAAGGGCACCACCAGCAGCCCCATCACCAGGTCGGCGCAGGCCAGCGAGGTGATGAACAGGTTGGTGAGCGTCTGCAGCCGCTGCGTCCTCCCGATGGCCGCGATCACCAGCACGTTCCCGGCCACGATGAGCAGCACCACCAGGGCCATCAGCAGGCTCATGCCCACAGCCCACTGCTGCGACAGCAGCTCGGCGGCGGGCAGCTGCCTGCTCCCCGGCGGCACCGCCGTCACCCCGGCCACGGAGCGGTTCTGGGGGCCGCAGTCCGGCGGCAGCCACCCATCGCCCATGGCTGTGCGGGGCGCTCCGGCCGCCGCTCCGCACCGCGCCGCGGGCAGGAAGGCGGCGCCGCCGCCGCCGCCGCCCCGGGGCTGCCGCATGGCCCCGCTCCGCGCCGCCGGACCGACCGCCCCGCACCGCCCCGCACCGCCACGGCACCAATCGGCACCCGGGGGGTGGAGACGGACCGCCCCGCCCACGCACCGGCGGTGTGCCTGCCCCTATCCCTGCCCGTATCCCTGCTTGCATCCTTGTCGGTATCCCTCCCGGACCCCCGTCTTTGCTCTGGCTACGCTCCTGAAGGGAGGTTGCAGCGAGGTGGGTATCGGTCTCTTCTCCCAGGCAAGCAGCAGTAGGACAAGAGGACACAGTCTTAAGCTGCGCCAGGGAAGGTTTAAGTTGGACATCAGGAAGAAGTTCTTTACTGAAAGAGTGATCGGGCATTGGAATGGGCTGTCCAGGGAGGTAGTGGAGTCACCGGCCCTGGAGGTGTTTAAGAAGAGACTGGATGTGGCACATGGTCTAGTAGACAAGGTGGTCAAAGGTTGGACTCGATGGTCTCAGGGCTCTTTTCCAACCTGGTTGATTCTGTGATTCTGTGCCTGCCCCGCGGCTGCTGGGCACAGACCCCCCCCACCCCAGCCCTGGGACACCCACGATGCCGCACGGCAGCCGCGGGCAGGCAGGGTATGTGAGCAGGAGCAGAAGCTGGAGCAGAAGCTCCACCTCTCTGCCCCTGTAAAAAGCAAAATGCCAAATACCGGCACTATCATCATCATTCTCCAGTGAAAAGTAATTGAAATCCCCTCCCATGGGATGTCCCCCATCAGGGACAAGCCCCACACTCTCTCCCAAACCCCCTGTCACCAGTGCCTCCTTCCCCAGCCTGGGCAACCCCAGAGCCCACATGGAAAACCTTCTGGATTGAAGGGATGATGCTACCAGCTCTGTGCAGGGACTGCAGCTATGGCTTGTCCCCTGCATCTCCCCACCGTGAATCCTCTTTCCCCCATCTCATCCAGCCCTGCCAGACCAAGCCACTGCAAGGCTGAGAGGTGGGAGTCCCAGTTCCCCTTTCTGACTCTCCTCTGTCTCACTGAACAGTTCTCTCTGGACTTTTAAGAATGCAGGCAGTAGCTTTTACCCAGTCTGGTCAAATCACACTAAATCTAGGGACTGCTCTAAGTATTAGTACTGTTAGTACCATTACTGGTGGTAATGAGCAATAAAGTTGGTGAAACATCCCAAGGCTGCAATGCCCAGATAACAGCCTTTGAGCGAATCCCTGCCCAGCTCCCATCCACTTCTGTGAAACCTGCTGCTAGCAACTAGTTGGACTGGCTTTCCATTTGCTTGCTTGGCCCTCTATTTGGTTCCAAAGCTGTAAGATTGCTCTTGGGTGCACTTAACTTCATTTTACTCCTCTTTAAAACATCTTAAAATAATGTGGAACAGCCACTGAGTAAATGAGAGTGATGTCCCCTCTCTCCTGCTTTTTTAATCATCATCATGTCTTACAGCAGCACCAAACATTCCCCACAGCACTCTGGGAGCAATTGGAAGGCATGGTTATTTTCTTTCCTCTATATATTTATTCTACTAAGACTGCTCCGCTGTTCCAGCTGGACCATAAAAATCCCTTCCAGGCTTAGGCTTGATTTACAAGGTCACAACCTGGGAAAAATTTATTTATTTATTTACACCCTGTTTATTTAACCCTGACTAAAGGCCACACACCAGCATGGACCTGCTGCTTGGCAAACCATTCCCTCATGTTCCCATGGACTTTGCTTTGCTGCTTGTCGTCTGCTGGACCACAGCATGACCCTCTTTGGTGGGAAGGACAAGAGGTATGACATCTTCAAGAGCAGAGGGAGACCTTATGCCAAATGAAAAGCAGAAGGATCGTGTCAAGGAATATTTGTCCAGGTCTGAAATCTGTAATTCTGATTTTAAAAAAATTATGATCTGAAACCAGGTTAGTGGAGCTGTGGGATAGGGACAATTTTTTCTTTTCTATGTTTAGCTGGAACACTTAAAGTACAAGCCCCGCAGTGCATCGTTGAACCAAAACCTTCACAGTTGAGATGCTTGGATGTATTCTGTGAATGTGTATAGTTCATTTTACTGCAAAATCAGCCAGATTAAAAACCTGATAAAATCTTAAATGCTTTTCCCAAGATGACACTGAAGCAGTGTTGGGGATACTCTGTAGCTGTTTTGCTTGCTATTCCTGGAGCATCATCCGTCTGTCATCTGTCCAGACCCATTATTGCTGTGGTATCTTTATACAGTTAATAAATACCATAAACTAATAAAATGCCAACTCTTTGCCTATTGAGCTGTCCTATGAGGTCTCCAGCTGGAGGTCTCTTCCCACTGTAAGAGAAGATAAGCTTAAAGGCTGAAGAAGTAAAGGAAATTACTGGCAAGTATGCAATAAACCAGAAGACACATAACTGTGTGTTGCTTCTCAGTATCTTTGTTGGTTTAACACGCGTCAATCTGGAATGTCAGATCAGAGCTGGAGCCAGAATGTCTTTGGGAAACAATGCATCTGCAAAGGAAAAAATAAGCAAATTTACAATTTCTGTACAGAACATCCCTCTGGCCCTTGCACAGCAGAGCAGCCAAATATTCACTGTGGGCTTAACCCCTTTCAGAGCGTTACCTTTTGAAAATGTTCTTAAACTCAAAATTTCCTTTGTTTGTGGGTTTTTTTTTTTTTTTTTTTTTTTTTTTTGTTTCATTTCAGACAGTTCTTTAACATGATTGTAATACCACCCTTTCTTTGCATATTATGTAAGAATGTTAGGTCAAGAGAAGAGCTTATGGCACTGAAATGGTTTGTTTCTACTTGCTCTCCAGATCACAGTTTTTAATGAGCAATTAATTTATTTTTTCCTTTGAAAGTCATTAAAAAAAAAAAAAAAAAGGAAGCCCAAACTCTCAGTAGTTACTAGGAGAGATCAGTCTTATATTGCATAGGGTTGACAAGTAGATCTGATGAGAATCAAAATGTTTTGCATTTGAGGAACTCTGTTGTCATGAGTGGTGAAGCTTCAACATTTCAGGAGCTGAAGTGTCCTGTCTAGGTGTGTTTTTAAACCCAGTCCTTTGAGATGGTTTGCACAGCTCCCTGCCTGTCCTCTTGCCTCTCCCTCCATGCAAAACAGATTGCAAGATGATTGTCCTATTGAATGGGTATGTTCCTGCATTCCCAGCACTGCCCTGGGCAATGTTAGCACCACCAGCAGTGGGGCAGGAGACTGGGAATGGTGCTGAACACTGGGGCCAATCTCTTCCTTCATCACAGCTGTAGCTGGGGCAGTGCTGGGGCCAGTGGATTTGCTGTTGCCAGTTCTGATGTGCTGCTATAGGCCACCCCTGGATCTCCAGGGCTGCTCTGAGCTCTGTGTGCTATGTCTTACAGAGCCTGTGAGGTTGGCTGGGGAGGGAAGATGTTGGCAGAATGTTTGAAGAAAGATAGTGGGATTAGCAGATGAGGAGAGTGGTGAGGCAATTCAACTTGTTGAAGACATAATCTCCTAATGTAGTTGGAAGAAGAAAAAATTGTCATGGAGGGAGAGAAATAATTTATATGAATACAAGGATATTCATGGAGTGGTAATGTGATGAAAGGGAAAATTTGTTGTTAATATCTGAAAGAACTTTTGAGACATTAAACCTGTTGGGTTGCCAGGAGTAGCACTGAATGTCTCATCACTCAGGCCTTACAGTTAGGTTTGACAAAACTCTAATTTTCAGCTACAGATCAGATTTCATCATGTCTAAGATCCAGACATTCCCAGGTTTTACTTTTAGCTTCGACATGGTTTTTTTACTGTATCTCAGCAGCTTGACTCTTGACAAGTAACTTTCAGTTTTCTCCACGAAAAGAAAAATAAATTCGGTCATCTTTGCTGCTGGGTAACCAGCTGGATTTAAGGAAGCTTTACTGGAGAAATGTGATGAAGAAACAGTTTCTCTGTGGCTGTGATGTTGGTGTGGACTGAGCAGAATTCTCCTGTGGGCAAGCAGTCGGGAGGAGCAGTTGCCTTCCAGGCACAAGGGGTGACTGTGGTGCCCCTTATGACCCAGAAAGATCTTGTCTTCTTCGTTCAGCCCTGGTCCAGTCATGCCTTCATGCATCAAATCCAGGGACCACCATTATCAACATAATGTCCTCTTAAAATATTAACTGTTCATTCTCTTAAGGCATTAGTCAAAGCCCACTAAAATACCTGGAAAACCTCTCACTGATTTCAGTGAGCGTCAAGTCGTTGCCATTTGTTCTATGGAGAAAAAGGACTACATAAAAGCAAATTAAAAATGCATTTGCTGTCCCTTTTTCTTCCTGATGTCTTCCTAAATCTCTCTGTAAACTTAGCATGCATCTGAGAAACCATTTTGTGTTCATTACCCGGACAGCTGACTAAACCTCAACTGAAGGAAAGCAGATGAGAAACAACTCTGCAAATCCTCATGTGAAGTGATCAGGCTTCACCCTCTCTGTGCTGTCCCAGGAAGAAATTGTCACTTGGCTCTATTCACATTGGGCATTTGTTGTGAGAGAAATAGAGACATGATGGAACATTGCCACAAGATCCATGTCTCTTGTTTTTAAAATAAACATCTTTGCTTTGACTTGACGTTTATTTTCCATAAATGCCTCAGCTTCAATTTGGCATTTCAGCAACAGCGGGAGGCTGTTATCCTGTGACAACACGCAATTCCATTGACATTATCTCTTGAATACATGTGACAGTGCTCCAAATACTGTATGTAGTTGATTTTAGTTAAACAATGTCATGAAAATATAAAGCAAATGTAGTTTGCTGTACTTTCCAGCATGTGACACCACAATTACACGAGGAACGCTATGTACTGGTGAGTGCTACCTTAGTAAGCACACCCTGAGTTTGACTTAGGGGGTCCAAAGAAGTGAATGCCTATTAATTCCTGTTGACTCAAGGGCTGTGGCTGGTATGTTGGTTAGCATGTACAGAAC